AGGTTCTTCTGTAGATAAGGTAGGAAACAGGCTGAGAACAGATGCTGTCTTTTGTATTATCTCAAATGCATCTGATTTTCATATAAAGCAAACTGAACATGGACTGATCTGCAAAGTAGGAAACAGGCTGAGAACAGATGCTGTCTTTTGTATTATCTCAAATGCATCTGATTTTCATATAAAGCAAACTGAACATGGACTGATCTGCCAAAGATGTGGTATTGGTGACAAGCACTTTGGGCTGATAGTCACTGCTACCACCCAGCTAGGTGTAGTAAAATAGCAGCCCATGACCACGTTAAATAGAAGGATGAGCAAGGAAGCTACACAGAATGCAGTAACGCTAAATCTTTTAACATGACTGTTCCTTCCAGTGGGAAGATGGAATGTGAAGGTGTGTATTTCTAACCTGGTATAAAGCTGTAAGCCAGGCCTGTGCTGGCAAACTTAACTCCTACCACAATTACCAGCTGGAGTCGGTAGGTATATGTGTGTGTATGTATATGAAAATGATCAGCAAAGGTAGGTACTACAGCCGCCTCCTGTGGTAGAACATTTTGCTAGTGTATTAACAAATCTCTTTTAGTGTATGCCTCTGTTGACATACTTTAAAGCCACATCTGTCAGTTTTGCTAGTGTATTAACAAATCTCTTTCAGTGTATGCCTGTGTTGACATACTTTAAAGCCACATCTGTCATTACGCAGAAAGTGAATGACTAACGTGAGGAAGCAGGAGAAGAGAAAGCAAACAGAGGAGCTAGTCAATACAAGGAGAAGTGGTTAAGGATGCTGGGATTGACTAATAAGGGGCAAAACCCCAGAATTTAAAGAAGAAAAATGTAATTACTTCTCTTTTCCAGTACTGCATCTGTGGTCAGCGGGTATAATTTTGCAGGCACAGAAGCAGAAGGAACTTTGTCCCCTGGAGTGGTGTCACAGGGTGCAGGGTTTAGAAAAAGCTGGTGTCAGTGCTGACCGAGTTTCAGGTGGGTGACACATCTCCGGGTCACAGTGCTCGGTGTGAGGCAAGAAGTAACCAGGAGGAGAGGAATGCCTGTACTTGTCTTCCTGGGAACTGCAGCTGTGCTCCTTCTAGCCTTTGCCTTGCATTGAATTTAATCAAAGCTGGTTAAAAAAAGTGAGAAACATTTTACATTTAATTTGCTGTGTTGGAGCTGCCTCCTGGAGGAGAGTTTGATTACATCCCCTGGTTTTGTAGTCCTCAGAGATTTTCTGCAGGAGTTGCTGGTACTGCTTACAGGACCTGCTTCGTTACCAGCTGTGCGCTCGTTGTCTCTGTGCTGAATTACTGTGGGGAGCTTGTCCTGACCATCCAGAAAGATCACCTGGCAGTAGGCAGAGTTGGCTGGGGAATATAGCCCTCTTACTCGGGCTGTTTGCTCGCCCGATATTTGCTATATTGTTTAATTGTCTGAATGCTCCGAGCACTTGCTGTTTGCCAGAACAGTTAGCTCAGAATGGGCTGGTACCGCTGGGGTACTCACCGCTTCAGGGGCTAATCCAGTGACATTGATTGCACACCAAAGTTAGAATTCAGTGAATTTTCATCTCTAGTAGTTGTGTTTCTTTCCTTGCAGTTGCTAGCCAGGCCTGCAAACAGCATGCCAAGTTCTTAGTTTAATTGATTTTGTACTTCAGAGGTGTTTCGGAATGCGTAAGTTCACTGTGACCGTTCTTTAGGTTTTGTATTAAACTTTTCCAAGAGTTACATTGGCAGAGTTTCTAAGGCTTTTAAGGATCACGATCTCACAATATTTCAGTGTGAACTTCCTGGTGAATGTTTCCTCACAGTAAGGAGAGGTGCTTGTTGCAAAAAAAATTATTACCTTGCAAGGTTAATGATCCTTTAAATGATAAAGGGAGCAGGAGGGGGTAAGAAGGGACCAGGCGAGCAAGTGACATTTGTTTCTCGTCAACTTTTCTTGCTCTGCTGGCTCTCAGGGGTTTGTAACCTGGCTGAGGTATTCCTATTTGTCCATAATTAAAGCCAGGTTTATTTTTCTGTCTGCAAGTGTTAAAAAAATCTGGCTCAGGAGGTGGTGGCAACTCAGCTGTGGTTGCCTTACATAATGGGACGGCCTTAAACTAATGAAAGGAACTTTTATTGCTTTATTTTTCTTCTGGACCTCAAGATTCTTGAGGACTGAGTACTACTGCTCCCACACGATAGCTGTGGGGGCGATGGTTATTACACCAGAGCCTGCTCAGTGTGCAAGGTCCCGTCAGTTACGCTTGACACAGCTCCTGCTCAAGGCAGCTCAGTGTTCAGGCTGGAGAGAGAGGTAGGAGAGGAGAGCTGTGGAACAGGAGAGGACGGGGTCGTTTTCTCTTTTATGGGACCTCAGATATCCTATTTACCTGTGGAAATGCAGCTTAAAATGTTACCTGTTCTCGCTCCAAGATTTTTTTTTTCCAACCTGTGGGTTGTGGATTACTTCTAAAGGGTTTGTGGAAGGTAACCAGAGGAGATAACCCTGATTTTCAGATTCTTGTAAGGCTGTTAGAAAGCTTTTAGCCAGCAAGCTGAGAAACATTAAAATAATGGATTTGTGACTTAATTGTTTTTCTTCCCAGAAACATCTCTCTGCCTCTGCAAATAAGTCTCAGTGACCCGGTGTTGAGTCTGAGAGTATCAAAAAGCAGTTCTGTAAAGCACTCTCCTAACTTTCCATCCTACATTACCTTTTCCTGCTGTGCCCAGATAAGAAATAATAAAATGAGATTTCTTTACCGTGGTATGGGATGAGCTGATCTCTGTGTCCACTTCAGCTGGTGAGTACCTTCCCCTCCTCCCCGTATCCTGCTAGCGTGCATTAAACTATACATTGGCTTGCTCCTGAGCTAAACCATTGCAGACAGAGCAGCTGGCTCCACAAAGGAGAGGCATTCTATTGCTCCTTCAACTAACCTTTGTTTTCATCTGATAAATTTTGATGGGTTGTAGATTATACCACATCTTGCCTGTTTTGCCCAGGAGATGTGTCGTAGCATGAGGATTTGGAACAATATGAAGAAATCAGAAAGGGAATGTAGAAAGGTGAACAGAATTTAAACTTTAAGAATTACACACAGAGAAAAAATGGCAATCTGTTCAGCTGCTCAGCTGTTTTATTTGCAGTAGCTGGAAGAGGTTTGGGACTTGATCCCGTTTCATTGGTTTGTTTGAGAGGGAGAAAGCCCTTTTTCCTAGGAACATACAGCAGTCATTGTTTTGGTAAGCTGAGGAGCACCAGTCCCTGTTTACTTCATAGTTATGGGCCGTGTAAGCATTACACAAGTTAATAAACATGTGATGAGAGATGAGATATGTGTGTTTCCCACTAGTCATCTTACTTAAGTATATGTTTGATCAGGAAATGCAAAGGCTGCTGGCTCCGTAATCCTAGAGCAGTACAGAAAAATAGATACCAGTGAGGGATGGGAGCAGAAACCCTTCTGAAGGCTGAGACCTCTTCCACGGTAAAAGCCGGCTGTGAAGCCGTTGTAGTCTTGGAAGACCTCGGAGTCATTTTTCCAGTGGTTTCATCCAGTGTGGGTTTTGGGGTTGGTTGGTTTGTTTTGTCTGGGAAACCCCCAGCTCTAACGAAATCTGTGGTTTTGTAGCGAGGAATTTGATGTAACAGTTCTCAAGATAAGCACTGCAGGTGAGCTGAAAGCTGTTCCTTCTGCCATTTCGCTCCCATTTTGAGCTTCCGTCTTTCTGCTGGTTCTAATGTGCTGAGTAACCATCTCCAGTGCTTTGTGAGCTCTCTGTTTCTGTCAGATCAGGGATGACACTGAATAGAAACTGTTTACAACTCGAGCTGATGCTGAGGGAGGCTGGAAGTTGATGCAGCTCTCATCTAAGCACTTAGGAGTGTCACTCCCAGGAGTGTGGCAGGAAAAGCCCCTTAAGTCCAGGCTGTATGGATATGACAGTCGGTAGCACTGCCTCCTCTCAATGTACTTTTCCCCACAGATTTCTTTGTAGAGTTATGCTTGTGCTTATAAGAAATGCAAGTTATGCTTGTGCAAGCTTCTCTGTAATGAGCATGTTGGTGTAATTAAGCCTGAGAGTCTAGGACTAAAGAACTAAATTCATTTACACAAGGGGGAATGAAGTGGCTTTGAATTTGGCCCTATATAGGGATCCATACGCTTATTCTCAGGTCTAGTAACACCTTCTCTGCCCCACTCCACCCCTGAAAAAAAAAAAAGAAATGGTTCCAGTTAATGCTGGAAAGAAATAACGAATCCTGTTTTATGATATGTCAAGATGCACTTGAGATATCACTAGTTATACAAAGGAGGCACACTAAGGTTTGGGATTTTTTTCTTTTTGATCCTCTGGAGTTGAAACTTTAAGGCTTTGAAAACGTCCTTGACATGAAGAGAAAATATTTGATCTTACTGGAGGTTTGGCTGAGTTCTGCAACCCACGCAGCAGCCTCCGTATAATATTTAGAGATGTGGAAAATAATAACACACTTCCTGTGGAAAGTGTTGTGCCACCCCCAACATGGGAAGCAACCGGGAAACTTCATACAAAGTCTGCACCAAAATTGCACATTCAGACAAGACAATAATACTTCTTTTGTGGAAGAACTACCATTGTGCAAAGCCATTAATACACATTGCCCAGTGCTGCCCAGTGAAATGTGCATGTGAAATTCCAGTGACTCTTAAAGGTACTGACTTAAGCCAATTGAAGGGAGACAGCTTTTGTTACCACGGCTGTTATCCCACGGTTTGCTTTAGGGAAGCGCAGTTCTCTTTGTCCTTCAGCTCTTTGGCTGGTGCTGGTTTCTGGGCTCAGCCTCGGGGCTGGATCGCTCACGTGGAGCCTGGCACGGCCCCGCAGGGTGGGAGCGCAGGGCTGACGGCAGTTGTGGAAAGCAGAGGCTTGTTTTCTCACCCGCCATCAGTGCTGGCCCTTGTGTGGCTTTGGACAGGCCACATAATTGTTTGTGTCCCTCTTCTTTTCTTCTTTTCTTGCTTTTCATATGCTTGTGACGTACACGACTGCTGGAGGGGATTGACTTTCAGACTGTCTTTCGGTTGGCATTTCATTGTATTGGTATGTGGAGGGATCATCCAAAGGTACTTTTGAAGCCTCTTTCAATTTGTTTGTTTTTTCCAGAGCACAGAAGCTGAACGCCATGAATAATGCAGCTGATACCAGGAAGAAACTGGAGTTGTAGAAGACATAGCGGAAATCCCTAGTTATGTCCACCAGGAGACCTGAAATAGAAGCCACAGCTTAGTGGAAGAGAAGATGCATACTATAGTCACTGCTGTTTCTGCTTCTGCATAAAGTATTTCTCAATACACAGAAAAATCAGGAAAGAAAGGAAATGGTAATTTTTCCCCAACCTGCTGATTCATTTTGTTTGCTCAGCAGAGGACCCCTGTGCCACTGCCACTCACTGGATTTTGTAATGAGTGACCCTGTTACATCCCAGGTCAGAACACAGAACAAATAAATAGAGAAATCTCTCAAAAATCAATGTTTGGGTCTCTTAACTGAACACTTGTCTCTAATAGTGTGTGATCAGGGAGAGGAAATTTCACAGCACAGCAAGCATTATGTCTAGCATTAAGTGCCCTCAATAGCAAACATTTAGAAGCGGGATATAGCCAATGAGTAATTTAACACCAATGTTAGAGACGCAAAGGCGATACTCAGGTGAAATACATGATGCCTTCTCTATGGGCTGATTATTTATAGGGAAACACTGGAATGATGTCTGTTTGCTTGTATTCTTCAGTAGATTGGTGATGTTTCTTTTCCTCGTGCACTTTTCTTTAGCAGATTTCAGGGTTACAAGCGGAAATGGAGCTGCTTTTACTGGACTTTGTTTTGCATCTGCCACTCCCATCAGAGATGTCTAAGAAAAGAGCTTTTGTGATTTGAGAAAAGTGACTGACACACTAATCCCAGGGAATACTGGGAAATACAGTGCATGTTGTCATCCCATTCTCAGAAGAGACATTCTGATGTTAGTCTTTTGAATTTGCTGCTGTGCTGCAGGAGCAGGTGTGTCTTGGGCAGGTCACTTAGTGGCATTTGTAGTGAAATCTGTGAATAATTTACGCATTGGGGGCCATAACTAGCTCCTTTCTTGTCTCCAGAGAAAAATGAATACACTCTAGAACTCGGAAAGAAGAGTGAACAGAAGCTTTTACGATAAGGCTTTTGAATAATGTAGAGCTGGTAATAATTCTGATTACAGTTAATGTGTTTAATGGGATGTTCACCATTCCTTGAGACTTCATAGATAAAACAGTGCAAACTGGCAAAGCAGTGAGATGGTTCATAAGCAGCAAGATCCGACCACAGTAATTCCTCTCTGTGTCTTGCCACTGACTGGAAAAAGGCTCTCCTCGCTCCCATGCCTATCAAAGCGCCCTACCAAGGGGGTCACGTTTTCACTGGCTGCTGTTGCTGCAGTGACACTGGGGCAGCTGCAGAAATGGCCTTCCTTCAGCAGTGCGAAGGGGCTGTTCGTTCCTTTCCAACTCTCCCTTTTATATTGCTCCCTCTGCATAATCTGCCTGCCTGCATGGGTTGGGAAACTCCCTCATTTCTCTTCTTTATGCTCCCTAACCCTTGTCACCAGTGTTACCCCATTTTCCCCAGCCTGCATTCATAGCTTCTCTCACCTGTGAGAGGGGGTCCGATGAGGAGGAAGATGCTCTCCAGGATGGTGAAGAGCCCTAGAGCACTTGAGAACCTGTCCATCTCCACCACGTCCATCAGCACCTGGAAGAGGAGTGCCCCGGTGCCGCTCATGGCTGTACCGAGGATGATGCAGTAGACGATGAGCACACTGAACTCGGCTGAAATGATACAAATGAAATTGCTCAGCCCATAGAGGAGCACAGCCAGGCTGAACAGGTAGATGCGTCTCCCTGTGAAGACCCTGTGTCCTGAGAGCAGCCCTATCAAAGGGCGTGCAAAGATGTTGATGATCCCGATAACGGAGATGAGGAGGGCTGCTCTGCGTTCCTCCACCCCGTTCTGGATGGCATAAGGCACAAGGTAGACGTGAGGTAAGGCAAACCCTATCATCATCCAGGTCACTCCAATAGTGTAAATCTGGTAGCCTTTGTTTTGACAGAAGATGTCAAAAGCCAGGTACTTCTGCAGCACCTGGAAGCATTTGGTCCTTCTGGTTTGCTGCTGGAGCTTGGGGTGGGGAGAAGATGCTCCGTTGGACAGTTGTGTCCCTTCTGCTGTTCTCCCCGGCTCCTCTGCAGGTGACTGTAGTGGTGACCCTGATGCGAGCTGAACTGGTCTCATGATGGCTCCACAGACACAACCATTCAATAGGATTCCTCCAAAGATAAGAAAAGTGTTTCTCCAGCCCATCTCATCCAGCAAGTACTGAGAAAGCAGCGGCCATAGCGTGAAACCCAGAGAGACGCCAGTGGATGCCATGGCGTTGGCCAGCGTTCTCCACCGGACAAAGTAGTAGCCCAGCACAGTCACTCCTGCCTGGAAGCTGAAACATGATCCCAGGCCTAAAGGTAAGAAGAAAAGAGAAAATGACAGCGTGTGACCCATCTGCATTGTCCTAAAGGGCGAAAAGAGCCCAAATCCAGGGTGTACCCACAGATGACTTCATCTGCTCCTGAAGCATTTCCTCCCCTGCCAGCCTGCACATCCCCAGTGATCAATACTCAGAAACTCCACACAAGGGATGAAGAAGGATGTTGTGCATAAATTAAATGGCTTGTGTTTTTTGGTATAGTAAATATACCGAGCTAAGCTGACATTTGGCTGGGGCTTGTTGCCATTGCTAACATTGTTCATTAAAAATTTGGTTTTATACTGCGTGCAACAAGCAGTGCTGCTTTCCTGACGCTTTCATCAGGGCTCAGCTTGCAAGATCCAGCAGGACTGGTCCCAAAGTAACCTGAAGAAATTAATTGCTCTGTGTTAGAAAAGAGCAAGAGTTGAAGAACAGTCACATAGGAGAAATATTTGGAAAGGAAAAGTTCCCATCTGTTACTTCTGTTCAAAACCAACAGGTTGAAGGTTTTTTTAGAAAAAATATATCTCCACATTTCTCCAGATTGGGAGTGGTGAAACACAAGCCCAGGGAACTTGGGAAGGACATTGTCCCAACACATTACGTTCCAAGATTGAAAAAACCCCTCTGTTCTTCAAAGGCAAAAGGCTGAGAAGCTACTGAAAAGAACAGACATCTTTGCTCTCCATTTCGCCCTCTGGAGACCTGCAGCTTTTTCCAGAGAGAAGCACTTTCCAGTGAGCTTGGCTGGATGAGGTGTGTGAAAGGGCTGTGAAGGGCAAGTCCAGCTGCTACATGCTTCCCGCTGCGCTGTGGGGCTTTTGATTTATCCCGCCTCACAGATGAATGGAAAAACGTGAGCCCTTAGTCGGGACTCTTGCCATTTCCCATCTCTGCAGACAAGCAGGGCAGCTGGGTTTCCTGCTGTTCTGCGGTACTTACCCGCGATGAAGCCAGCCGTTAGGTAGAGCTGGCCGATGGACCTGCAGAAGGAGCTGGCCACCATGCCCACGCCGCTCAGCAGGCCGCCCAGCATCACCACAAACCTGCAGCCAAACCGCTCCACCAAGATGCTGCAGAGGGGCCCTGGCAGGAAAGGGGAAGCAGTTAGGGAGGAAGGAAATATTTTGTACCTGTTGGACTGCTGCAATTACCGTATTAGTCTAGAGACCCTGAGGATTGTCCCCAGTGTAGGAGGGGAGCCAGGAACAGCCAACATATCCCCCGGTCCTCCCAGGTGTGTGGTCAGCCTGTTAGCTGAAGGGAAGGCTCCTGTCATCTGCTTCTGCTTTGGTCCATGAGGTAGGATTCCTACACTTCCTTGAGATGGATTTCAGTCAAAACTCTTGGAAGCAGAATGGAAGGAGGACCTTAAGTGTAATCCTGGTCTCATTTCACTGTGTCTTTCAAATATTCTGCCACAAAATCTCCTAAATTGCCCTTGGTGCCCTGCTACCTAGGTGAAACTCCTTCGCAAGAGAAGACAGACTCTGAAATAGATGAAGAACATCAGGGAAACAGACGACACCGAGGAGGATTGTTTGGAGATGACTGGAGAGGTAGATTCATGTCTGCATGGGAATCAGTCTGGGCTTCAGGCAGCAGCACTCAAGCTGCAGCTTGTGGAGTCTTGCAGCTGTCCTGCAAGTCATCTTCCCAGGAAAAGAAAAGGATGGGATTGCCAGCGCAGCTCTTTGCATGTGCCTGTCCTGGCAGGGGTGGGCAGGTACAACCGTGTCCACTTCCAAGAGGACGCAAGCTGAGGGGCAGACCCTGCCCATCCCACTCCCACACCTCCGGCACAAGGGGCAGGAGCGAGACCCGTCTGCTTCCGAGGGACAGAAACCTGGGGTTACTGCGTTCGTACGCTGCTGGCAGGCTTTACCAGGAAAGAGTTGTGTCATTTCATCAGAAAAAGCCATGAACAAATAAGCATGGAGATGTGGGTGTTTAAGGTCAGTTAACACTTTAGTGTTCGTCGGCTTCTGGTGAATTCCATGAGATTGTGGCAGATACCAGTTAATGTCATTGAGCATCCTGCATTTTGGGGTAGGAAAAAATTAGTTCAGACCTGCAGACCATCACTGGGAAACGTGCTTCTCTCTTCCCTATTCCTTTGAGGATCCTCAAGGTTTTCCAAATATCCCCCCCTCCCCGTCTTCTGAACACTTAAGGTTATTATAAGCAAATGCAAAATGACCGTAAGCTTCAGAATTAGGAGTCAATCAGTGT